TCTCTCTCTCTCTCTCTCTTTTTTTTTTTATCTGCTGGAGGTTAGATAATTGGGTTAGTAGATCATGTTTAGATAACCATGGAAAAGGTAGATCCAGTCACGCGAAAGTCTGGCCCCTCCTGCAGTAGGGGATATGCACGAGTTAAGTGGGTAGTGTTTATTGTTGATTTTTGGCAGTTCTGTGGCTTTTTATTTAATAATTAAACACAACCAGAAATATATCAGCTACAGATAGCACTTATTTAATTTAGATATAAAGATATTTAATCAGAAAATACAAGCTAAAGTAGCACATTCCATGGGTTTGCAAACTGCAAAACTTACCTCAGATTTTCAAATTGAATGGTTAAGGTTTTGTGTTTAATGTTTATTAGTACTGATTGTACTATCACTAATTTCAGGCAGCTTTCTAGTTTGAGATGGAAACTCATGGGATGGGAAGATGTGGGTGCCATGCCACCAGTTGACAACAGAAGTTCTCTCAATTTTGTTCACCAGCTGTTGAATAAACTACAGGTTCATCAGCTTGAAAAGAAGGTGGGTAAGCTTATGTACATCAGACAATAATTTGATATTATTAAAGTTATGTGCATTATTTTGTGAATTTAATATTTTTTTTTTAGTTTGTCTGACTTTTCTAATATTGAGGAAGACAAAGTACTGTACAGTAATCCAAGATTTCCACATTGCTTAAATTCTTCACTCGACAAGTTGATTTTTGAGCGAGGCTTAAGCAAAAAAAATTTCTTGTCCTTTCAGACCATAGTACCATAGTGTAATATTCTCCATTACCTACTAGATATCATTAGCTTGTGAGCCTCTTCCTTTTATTCTACATAGTTGTTCAAGCTGAGACTGCCTTACTTCAATTTTCTCATTTTAGCCCCGCACTCAACCTGTGTTTTGTCTTTATCTGGCTTAGTAATCATTATATTCATACTGACATTCTTCATTTAAGCATCACTGTAGTAGCACTGCTTTGTTGACAGCCTCCCTAACATTGTCTCCTTGAGCTATCTGTTGACACCACCCTGTTGGGAAATTATTCTCATATAGCTCTTTCAAGATTTTTTTTTTATACCTTTACGTGCATTATTCTCTAAAGAATCCTTATTTTACCAACATAAGTTAAAAACATTGGACTCATCTCAGCAACAGCACTTCATTTAGGACTCCATAATATTTTATTAGGATATTAAGTCTCTTGCTTGCTCTCTTTTTGAGTGCATTATATAAAAACTGTATTTAAACTTTAACTTATTAACTTGTCTGATATCTTGTAGTATACTGTCCTTTAAATCGCTCTTCACATAAAACAAATTTTTTCAAACCCGTATTACCTGTATTTTGTATTCAAGCATTTCTTCCTCTGAGAAACACTGTAGCCACTTGGCTTCCACACCTCTATAGGCAACTACAGTATACTAATTCATATTTCATCCTCTTTTATCGATTATTAAATTAATCTCTTAGATTATTTTTTTATTTAACCCTTATGTCACGGTAATGTACTGTACAGTATAGTCTGCATTTACGCGGTCAATTGAACCCGTGGAGGTCCGCGTAAAATGAGAAGCGCGTAAATGAAATAACAGAACATATGGGATTAATTGAAATAGAGACTGGGCCGACCCCCAAACTCCACTTTTTCCGACACAATACGTACCTTGTATAGTAAAAATAACATCTTAATTTTATGATGGTATGCACACACAATTAATAATTAAGAGAAATATCAATAATATTAGGTTTTTTAACACTTACATTAGCAGAAAAGCTGGGTCGGCACACGTGGAATCGTGGATGGCGGCTGATTCCGAGGCAGAGGGCAGATTAGTTGCCGTCCGGTGAATCACTTTCACGACTCACAGAGGTTTGCAGGGCCTCCCAGACAAACCCCTCAAAGTCGATATCCTCACTGTCACTATCACTGACTTGGGCTGGTTGTGGTTGTGGTGGGTTGCGGGCGAGGAAGTCCTCAATACTACGCTGACGACTAGCATTGATGTTGTCGAGATAGATCTGGATATATGGCTCCATAACTTTCAACAGAAGGTTATTAGATACTTCATACCGATGCTTGTCTGGGTTGTTGTCAAGGATGAGCTTAATTTTCTCCCCCAACTCGATGATTTCCTTCACATTATCATGGCTTGGTCCAGGTAATTCAAGGTTTTTCTCGGGTGGTGGGGGTCCAGCGGAAGCCATTGTGAGGGGAATAGCGGGCACAAGAGAGAACTGTATACGCGGACTGAGAACAATGAGACAGGCCCGGCTAGGTCAGCGACTTCTACCCTCTGGTGGCAGGGCACGTCATGATACATTAGACCAATCACAGCTAGTGGTGGAGGGAATGCGTGGGTGGTAAGGATGCATGGCCCAATCACAGTCTGATACGTCATATGACGTCAGCGATAACGTAAGAGCAGTCTAATGCGCACCACTCACCGCGCCGCTTCCCGCGTATGGTCAAGAATGGACTGCGTGAGTAAAAAATGGCGCGGCGCGTCTGGACCTCGCCGTGTACGTGACCAAATTTACCGCGTAATTAAAAAATTTCATTCTGGCAAGGCACCGCGTAAACGACCAAACGCGTAAACAAAAACCTCGTAAATTCAGACTATACTGTATTGTAATTAAATGACACCAGCGCTGGCCAATTATTATTTTTTCCTGTCAGAAATCAATTCAGAATGGTCAAAAGGGAACTGAAAGAGTTGAAAAAAAGATCAGGTTGGTACTAAAGAAGTGAGTGTGAAGACCAATGATTTGGGCAGGGATAGAACAGTCCACACCCAGCACTTACTGTATTCATATTGAGCAAGAGGGACATTGAGGCTGATAAGGCTAAAGTTGTTGCTGCTGCTGGAAGTGTTGAGAGAGCACTGAAGTCTATTCCTGTTGAAAACTGGCTCCCTTGTTATTAGACTTTCCACTGAGAAGGTAAAGGAGGAGGCTAGTAGGGCAGTGAGATCCTGCTTTGGTACACACTCAGACATCATGGTGTCTGAACCTAGAAAGATCGTGCCAAAAATGACAGTTGTAGGTATTCCTACTACACTTCCTGATGACAAAATAGTCCCAGACGTTGTTGAGAAGAATAATGAAATTCAAGAACTGTAAAATAAAGGTACGGTACCAAGTTATCCCTTCTTTTCACAAGGATAAAACTCGCAGTCCTGAAGATGTCACCTGAAGTACGAAATTCCAAGGACACATTTATGTTGGACTGAATAGATGCAAAGCTTATGACTCAATGCTACCACTCTAAAAAATATGGACACTTTGCTTCAGGCTGTCCCAGGAAGCCTGGTTCTACAGTTTGTGCCTTCTGTTCAGGCATTCATGGGTCTAGAACATGCTCAAATAAGACTTCACTCTGCTGCACAAATTGTTCCACTTTTGCAGTACCACCTGAGTCAGTCAGTCATTTTGCATCAAGTAAAGATTGCCCTATGATGACTTCCCAGCATAAAAAAAAGTAATTGGAATCACTTGACTTTACTGGTTCAAAAAAATGAGTAGTGGCTCTCTTGAACCTATACTGTACAGTGGTCCCTCGGTTAACAAACGGTTCGATTAACTTAATTTCGGTTAACGAATTACTTCCCATAAGGATCTTCAATTCGGTTAACGAGCAAAACTTAGATTAACGAAATCCTTACGACAAACACATTTTGTTATGAACATCAGCTGATGGGCTAGTCTGCCAATTCAGTAATCTGTTCTATGTTTACATTCGTTTACAGTGGAGTAAATATCAAGAAAGTTGTGCTCTTTAATATTTTTGCATTTTTTTTACTAAAATTATTAGTCATTTTAAAATTTATTTAACTAATTGATAATATATGCAGTACAGGGAACTAGTTTTTGTGCGCCCATCAGCCGCTTGACTCACCAAACCGGGCGTCAGTTTGGCTTTGTTGGAGTGAACATCGATTTTGTTGGTGTCGAATATTTTTGCATTTTTACATTAAAATTATTGGTCAATCTGAAATTTAGTTAACATATTGATAATATATAGCGCAGTGCAGTATTGATTGAAATAAAATAATCTTGAATTACACCTAGTGAACTTCAAATTTTATTGGTGAAATTACTGCATCAAGCATGGGTCCCCTGAAAGGTGATTTCTCCTCCATCCCCACCTCCTTCTCTTCTCCCTTCTCCTCCACCCCCACCTCTAATTCCCATCATCATCATCAACCAGGAACCTTCTACATACACACCTCAAAGGAAGTGTACTTTACTGCATTTTTTTTTTTTTTTACTTTGTATGTACTTTTCTGTGAGCTGGAACCAATTACCCAATATCCTATTGAAAGAATGGATTCGGTTAACGAATGACTCTGTGGAACGAATTGTATTCGTTAACCGAGGGACCACTGTATTAAAAGTATAGTAGGCCTGCTTAACCCTTAGGCCCCGGGTGAGGTTCCAGAACGTTTGACCAGCGCGCCCCGGGTGACGTTCCAGAACGCTCGCCTATTCCCGCCACTGTTTAAATGCACAGCGTGGGTTATCAGGTTCCAGTGTGACTATTTGCCTGTCACGCCACACGTTTGGCCACAGGGAAGCTTCCTGAACATAATTACCTTCTTTTGTTTTTTAATTTTTATTGTTTGTTGATTTTATCATGTATCAAAGTAATATTGAAAGTTGTGTAGTTGTATTGTAGGATAGTATTACTGTAAAACAATGCTATGATCATGTTATAAGTGTTTTTATTTGTGGAATTATTATTATTTGATGCATTTCTTGCTCTACCAAACACAAAGAAAGCCAGGTAGACTGGCTACCCACTGGTGATTGTTGCCAAGAACTTTTTTATGAAAAAATATGCAAATAAAATATTCTAAATGAATTATTTATAGCAAATAAGTATTAAGATCAGTAAATACATACATTGTTGGCCACTTCGGACACAAAGGCAAGCTAAAAATAGTCGCTAAGTGCGTAGGGACCATGAGGTCAGCAGTCAAATCAACACTGTCTCCTTATCTCTCCCCGTCCTCCCTCCCTCTGTGCGGCCAGAGATGTTTCTCAAGGGTTAATACGGTATATAGTTTTTCTTACTTATTTTTTATTGTTTTATCATTTTAAAAGGTTAAAAATTATTTTTGGAAAATTTGATTTTTCTCGATTTTACCCGGGTGGTGGGTACTGCCACCAGCACCCTAACCCGGGGCTTAAGGGTTAATATCCATGCAATCAGAAACAGAATGTGTAACATTTATAAGTTTCTGAGGGATTTCAGCTTGGGTTCCTCTGCATAAATGAAATGTGGTTGTATGAGTCAGACATCAACACTATTCATAATGCTCTTCTCAAGACACATTCTCTTGTTCATGTTCCCAGACCTGCTGCAGGAGCCCTGGGTTGTGGAGTGGTGCTGATATATTCTGTAGACCTGCTCAACACTAGACTGATTAGTAGCGACTGTTTTTTCCTCCTTTGAATTTATTGAGGCATTAATAAATCTTCATTGTCAAGTTATTAAAATTGCTGTTGTTTTTCGTCCGAGTTACCCAGGTACAGATAAGAAGTTCATGGATGAATTTGACTTGTCTTGAGACTTTCTCAGGAAAGAATGGCCGATGGTTGATCTGTGGTAACTTCAATTATCAGGTTGACATCCCATCTCTGAAACCCTTTTCTCACTTCAGTTCTTGCAAATTCTCAATCAAAAAAATTTTGTCAATCATATGTAGAAACATAGACTAGACCATGATTGATCAGGAAGTTGATCATTCTTTGAACTGGGTTGACTCCTCTGATTTGACTTCTGACAAGATGGTTAAATTACATAATGATGTCTTTTAGACCATTATTATCTAGAGGTCACGGAGAGAATTACAGTACGAGATGACTCTCCATAGTATGACTCATCTATAAGTTCTCCTTTTAGGGATTGTAGAAGTGCTGAATGAGTGGCATAGGCGGTGAAAAAACTATACTAGATCAGAGTATATGGCTGAGAATAGGGCTGTTGTTTGTTCAATGAGCGCATGCAATGTAGCCTCTTGTGTCAGTGATCAGAAAAAAAGTATGCTGATATGAATGGGCTGGAACTACTATGCCTTCTTCCACTTCAGATACTCAGCTTGCCTCAGATTTTTCTTGTTTTTTTATGGCAAAGATATCACATATTAGAAATGGCCTTCATGGTGTTTCTTTAATTGAGGAATTTTCAGTAGAATTTCAACCGAGTTACCGGTATGCCATAAACTTCACTCTTTCACCATTTTGTCCTGTAGGGGTAAACAACATTCTGGGCTATATAAGATTTTGTGTCGTCTTGATCCTGTAAATGTATCTAAGTTACCACTCGCTTTTGAACATGTTGCAGACTTCATGTGTAGAATCATAAATAAATGCTTTGCAGAGGGAAATTTTGTGCTATCTGAGAAACAGGCTTTATTGATGCACAATGGGTTATATATTCATGTTCCATTTTTCTCTTGTGATACATCCATGTAACACAAACTCCAAGCTTCCTTGTATACTTTTGTGTTGCGAGAGTGTCCGCCATAGGCAACAGCATGGATGAAAATGCACAAATTGAGGAATTCGTGTTTTAAGATATGCTGCTTGAACAACTTCTTAATGAGAAACAGTATAAATTAGATGTAGATAAAACTATGGAGTGAAATGAAGATGATTGAATACCTTATATTTCTATGTAATACAGTATTTCTTTACTTGTTTTTCCCTCAGCACCTAGAGGATGAAATTGTAACAACAAAAGCAATGCTTAAGAAAATGAACGATGAAGCTTATGTTCGACAAAATATGTATGACAAGAGAGCAGCACGACTCCTTGAGGCAGATACCCAGCTGGGCATCATTCAGAGAGAGTGGGTAGGAACACAAGAAACAATGCAGAGAGAGATGATAAATCTTGCATCTCAGTGCAACCAGTTGAAGGAGGTGAGTACTTTTGAATAGCTTTTTCCCAGTGGAGTTAATGCCAAAGAGCAGACATGTTGTCATCATTGGAATCGATTGCACATTTTGGGGGGATTTGTAATCGTAATCGATTGCATTGCCTTGGGAAACCAAGAAATCGTAATCGATTCCAAGGCAGAAGGAATCGTACTCTTGATTACATTCCATGATTACAACATATCCAATTGACATTGTGAAAACAAAGGTAATTGTAATCGTAATTAATTACATTTCTGGAGGAATCAAAACATGTGTGCCAAAGAGTTAAGATATTTAAAGCGGGCTGAATTGAACTGGTGAAGGTTATATAACATTGGTAAAACACTGAGGTAGGGAGGTTCCTTAGCGCTAGTACACAATAGGATATTAATGGGATTTGATAAGCAAAGGTTTTACAGAAGGTAATTTCAACAGAAAAGGCTGGGCCATCCTAGATACTCTAATTGACTAATAGGGGTTAGCTTAAAAAGGAGGCAAAGTATGCCAACTCCACACCCAGCTTATGGATGACAGCAATATTCCATCTGAGGGCACACATAACTTACATAAATGGCTGTCAACTGTTTTTCTGTGAAGTACAACCTGCCTCTGAACATGATCACAATTTCTCTGAAGTAGTTTCAGCTAAATTTAAAAACAAAATCTCAAGGTAAAACTTTAAGTGAGGGTGATGCATAAAATCTCAGTTTTGTGTGATGGTGGAATTATAGTGTCGAAATGTGAATTAATTTGTGTAGTATCATGCTTGCTATAAGTATTGTGTATTATGATTTAGAGGTAGAAGGCAACTAACAAATAGGGAGGTACAGTTGTGGAATTGTGGTAACCCTTGTTTCCAAGCTGCCAACCTATATGTGCCCCTATAGCTAACCTATCCACCAATCACATCGTTGTTACACAACCAAACAAATCCATTCATAAATGGTGATACTACTACTGCGATGTTGCCAATTGGAGACTAGGAACACATTTCTGCAACTGTACTACCACCTGTGAAGATATTGGAAGCATGATGTGTTGTCTAATGGTAGATCCTGCTGCCATATGGCATCTCAAAAATTGTGACCAAATCCCAGGTTGCTGATCTGACTTTTTGCCTCATTTACACACAATGGACGAGTTGAAGGTTGAAATTTTTTCATAAGATGGCAGGTCAATGGGTAAAGAAAATGCTTAAATTAACTATGGTAATGATATTTTTAAATAAATTGGGACAAAAGGTGTAAAAATGTAAGGGTTAAAGTTGCTAAAAGTCATGTGACTGCAAAAAGCTCTGTGATTGGTTGTGAAATCACTGGTTGGGGTGAACTTCCCAGCAGGAGGCACCCAGCTGTAGTTGTCCAACCTCCTTGGCTGATCGCCTCAGTAAATAAACATTATTAGATAATTAATTGTGCTTTATTGTGCAACACAGTAATGCTATATTGAATATATAAATATTACTAAGCACATTAACTAATTCAATGGATAATAGCTGCCCATACAACAAATTTCATAGTATAAACATTCCAAATGATATTGATATTATTTTGGTTTTGGTCATCTGGGGAACCTTAAGATTCTAACTATGGGATTAAGTACTTTAAACAATAAGACACATTATCTCTACAGGATTTGTCACAAAACATTTTTCGATCGCATAAGAAAATACAGGTTATGGTAAGTTATAAGGTTAGCTTAACATACATCGGTAAGGGGTGGGGAGGAGGGTGTTAACTCAAAACTAGTGATTTCCGATAGAAATGAAGTTCAAAATCATTCATAGCACATCACAAACCACCAGGAAAAAAAAAAACAACATAGTCTGCATGTCTTAAGTACAGGGATGACCATTAGTGAATCATCAAAACAGTAACAGCACTATGTTGTCATGTTTAGCTAACACCAGGCATTATCAAAACAAAGTCCAGACAATGCCATCACTTCTAAATATACTCGTATCTCCATCTAGTACTGATATACTCTGTAAATGTACCGAAAAAAAAAGAGAAAGTCTACCAGGTAAAAGTACATGACAGCTGAGCTGGTGTGAACATGGGAGTTTTTATGTCCAAAAGAACATAAGAATGGAGGAAACTGCAGCGGGCCATACTGGGCAGTCCCATTTACACCCAACCGCTAATGCTCATATATCCATCTAACCTATGTTTGAAGCTGCTCTTCACGGCACATTTCTACACTTACGAAATGTCCATGACTTAGACCATAAAAAAACACCCTTAAAACTTACCTGAACATGGCATTTGGGGTCTGAAGAGGCCATCCTTTCTACTACTTACGACTGCAGCCCAGCTGTGTTTGAAACTAGTGGCGGTCCTGTTTCCAGAAAATATAGTTATCTCTACTATTATAGCAGGACTTTAAACTTTTATTACAAATTATATATACGGTATAACTCTACTAACGTGGCAGAGTGTATTTCTTGTGTTTACCCAGTACCGTCAACTCGTCCATTACAGGGTCTCAATTGTTTTTCTCTTACTTTGACAACACTATATATATATATATATATATATATATATATATATATATATATATATATATATATATATATATATATATATATATATATATATATATATATATATATATATATATATATTGATATTGATTTAAGGGCAATTTAGGTGAATTTTAGGAATGCTTCTGACTTTCTGCTTATTGGTTTTACATTGTATATACAGTAGAAGTCCAAAAATCCGGACTGCTTGGGGATTGGGTCGGTCCGGATTTTCGGATTTTCCGGATTCTCAGGCAGTACTTTTAAAATTCAAATTTAATGAAGAATAAAGAAGAAATGAACAGGTACATTTTGATAGTTTATTCATTTGCAAATATAGCATGCTTCATTTATCAAAACGAGCGGTTTTAATGAAAAAGCTGTGAATTCTAAATTTTATTCTTTGCCTTTTATATATCATAAATTGTAGACTTTCCAATGTCGTATGTTTCCATTAGAACAGTATTGCTCACACCACGAT